GCAGAGTTTGCACCTCCTGCTTTTCCGTTGCCAAGAGCTGGGCCAGTTGCTCTATGACTGATAGCATGCCAGCTTTGGGGCTTTCAGGACAGGGTCCAGGGCCAAGGGCTGCCACCCTTGCCTCAGCATGACCTTCTGCAGCACACAGGCCGGCAAGTCTGGACTGGCATGCCCCAGAATTCTCCAGTTGGAACTTCACCCATGACACCCCTGATAATGGGGAGAGTCCTCCTGCTGTTCTGTACCCTATTTAGCCAGTTTCTGCCTCGTTTATAACACACAGCACGGCCCACAGTTGTTATCACACACACCCACACACACATGCACGTGATCAAGCAAAAATCACTATGCAGCTGGGTATTCACAAGGAAAACCAGCTGTGCAGAAGAATTCACTGTTTTTCACGACCCCTGACTTGGCAAATCCCCCCTGGGCAGGGACACCCTCTCACCTTGTTGCACTCTTCTGCATGGAGACCCACATACTTAAACACAATTCCATTACCCTCTTTTCTGGTGTCTGCTGCAGGTGATGGACCCCTACATCAGCTCCACCATCCCAAGCATAGGTTCAGAGAAGCCAAATATACTACATAGGGTGGAGGTGTTCCTCCTATGGAAACCTCTGCTGTGGGGTCTGGATTTGCCTGAGGGGGTGTAACTGCATGTGTTGTGGTTAAGACAGAGACTGTGGGCCTGGCTGCCTGTGTTCCCATCTTGGGAACTAGCTCCATGAATGTGAAAGAGTTCACTGTGCCTCTATTTTATCATCAAGAAAATGGGGATAATGAAGGCGACATTGTCTTCCTAGGACAGTGAGGAGTGTGACGTGCCTGGTGGTGCTGTGTTGGTGTCCGTTACTGCCACCATCTGCATTCTTGGCCCTTCTACGAGTCTGTCCTGCCCTGAGCCGGCACGGCTGCGGGGCCCTCCGAGACTGGGCTTGTCTCCCTGGCCATGGGCAGCCTGTTCCATTTTCTTTTCCACGAGGCTTAAAGTGCTCATTATCTCTCTGTGATAGGTTCTGGGAGCGGCTCGGCTCATCCTGGCATGGGTCCCCCTAATTGCCAGTAAAAGGAGCTCTTGTGGAGGATTCGGTGGTGTTTGAGTGCTAAAAACAGTCCACTGGAAGGCTGATTGTTTGTGATAAGGCTTCTCAGAACCTTGGCTCTCAGCAACCTGGGGGCAGGGGCTGCGCGATGGCAGAGCTGGGGAGGAGGTTGCCCGGGAGTCAGGGAGGAAGGGGAGATCTTTTTTCCATTGTTTAAAAGGACAACTTTCCCAGGTTATCCTGAGAGGAGGCAATGCTCAGAGAAAAGCCGCAGTCACCAAGGCCAACCGTGTAACTGCAAACCAGAGAGTGTCCCTAAGAAGCCAGCAAGGCTTTGATGGCCCACACTAACAGTTAATGAATGATTTAGGTCCCAAGGATAGGATGAGTGTTGAATGGGCAGGAGGACCCACCAAAAAGTGAAGTCAGGGTTCCCACCACTGAGGGGATGACATCACTTGGGGAACAGGGTGCTAAATGACTGTTTCCCAAAGGGGGTTCCATGGAACCCTAGTTCTGCAAAATTTTCTGTGGAATAAAAAGGAAGTGTAGATAGATTAAGTTTCCAGCCAAATAAAGGTTGAGAAATAATTCATGCTATACTTCTACCTACCTGAAGAGTCAATATCTATCAAAGACCAGTGAAGACACTGAAAGGTTCTGCAATAAAAACTTAGTATCTTTTTTGCACTCAGGGGCATCTGACCACTGAGCCACATCCCCAGCCCTACTTTGTATTTTATTTAGAGACAGGGCCTCACTGAGTTGCCAACAGCACCTCGCTTTTGCTGAGGCTGGCTTTGAACACATGGTCCTCCTGCTTTAGCCCCCAGAGCCACTGGGATTACAGGCGTGGGCCACGGCACTTGGTAAAACTTGATATTTGAACAATTCATTTCACGTTAACCTCTTAACCATCTTTCAACTCAGTATGTTCCAAACATTTGATTAGGGAGCCTTTCGAACTCCCCCTACCCCTAAAGGTCTTTCAAACATCCAGCAAAATGAGGGCCATGTTTCTAAAAGAATATCATGGACCATTCTGCCACACTAGATGTAAACCACCACACTCCCTGCCAGCGGCCCCCACCTCCAGGTGGTTCTGATGCACACCAACATTTGGGTTTCTAGATCACCCCAGGGAGCTCTGTGGGGAACTGGCAGGAAGGGAGTGAGCCCCCCCGCAGCGCGTATGAGCTGCTGGGATCCTGCAGCTGGGGCCTGAACCTGGAGGCAGCTGCAGAGCCGCAAGTGGGAAGGCCTGAACTGCACCCTGGCAGGAAGAAAGACTGTGCAGGGGTGCGGAGGGACCTCCCCTGGCGCTGCTCAGTCAGGGTGACTGTGTAACTGGTTTACACGGCAGTGTCTGTGTGTGGGAATGTGTATATGTGTGTGTGTCTGTGTGTCTGTGTGTGTGAGCATGTGGGCATATCCTAGAGTGAGAACGATCCCAGTCACTCAGAACCTAAGGCTTCAGGCTGGTGGTGCTCCTTTTACCCCTGAAGCCCAGGAAAGTTAAGAGACTAGCCTGAGACCCAAGGGACCAGCAGGTGCTCTCTCCCAACAGCCCCTTTGCCATGCCAAGGCCGCAACCCACCTCTGAGTCCTTATTACCTCCTGCCTTCCTCTGGGTGCTGAGCACTGGGCCCTTCCCCTGGGAGGCCAGGCCTCTCAACCATTTTTTAGGGCTTTTGTGTTCCTGTCCTCAGGTTAAGTAAAGGCCTGGTCCTCTAGCCAATTGCTCACCCTCTCTGGAAAGCAGTTCGTGCCCACCATGAGGGTCTGGGCCGTCCAGCAGTGTGCAGTGGGAGGCTGGCGGAGGGCAGCCTGCTTGTGAGCTCTGCCCGAGCTGGAGGAAGGTGAAGAGAATTCAAAACAACACTCCCTCCCATTACGAGGCTTCTTCGCCCAGGTGCGGGTCCCCGAGTCTGCCTCTGCTTCTTTCCTAGCAGGAGACAGTAAATACAGAACAGGTATATCCGTGCTCACCTTTCCTCTCCACCCCAGACTCGTCCAGTGGCCTGTTGGGCAGGCATCAGGGTGATGTTGGCCCTGGTCTAGTCAGGTGGGTAGCATCCACTCACATTCGGAGGCACCAGGAGTTAGGACTTAAACATATGACTCTTAGGGGGACACAGTTCAGCCCATAACAATTACTAAGGAGCACTTGTGGGGTCCCAGGTTGGTCCTGAGCAGGTCTAGGTGTGGGTGATATTGGAGACCATCAGCTCACCAGCCCTGCGGCCCCCAGTACGCACTCTCCAGCCTGCTGTGCAAACCGAGGCCTTCCAGCCGCCTGGTGGCTGAGTCCTGCTGTGAGCCCTTTCCATATGCTGTTCCCTTTCTTCCCCTTCCCTCTGCTTGCCGGATCCAGGAATGCTTTCCTCTCCTGCTCAGGGGAGTCCTTCCCATGCTCCTTGGGAAAGCATTAGTCTGCTGCAGTGCCTGAGTCAGAGCACAGATCACACTGTATTGTGATTTTTCATTACGTGTGTGTCATCACACACCATCTTTGTGGGCAGGGCCTGGACTTCTCTACCTTTGTGTCTTTGGTGTCTGCCCAGGTTCAGGTCCAGAGCTCATGCAGTGTGTGAGCTAGTGGCCCTGAGAAATGGTGGGTCCAGGGCCAGTCCACTCAAGGTGGATATCAATAAGAATCCAGTCCTACAGAAAGGTCCCCAAAATGAAGACTGGGCACTCTACCAGGAATCTAAGGAGGAGGTCATCACACACATAGAGGAGTGTACATATCGTACATGTACAATTCAGTGGACTCTGACAAACTGAACACACCCATGTGATGAGCACCAGGTGAAGAAACAATGTAACCAATCCCCAGAAAGCCCCACCCCCTCCTTTCCATTGACCATTGGAGTTCTGTCACTGTAGGTGAGTGAGTTTGTCTTTCTTGAACTTCTTATGACTTGAAACATATACCCCAAACTCTTTTGGGTCTGGATTCTTTGGTCTCACATTTGTTTGTGGGATTTACTTATGTGGTTGCATGTTGTCTCAAAATTGTCTATTCTCACTGCTGTGTGAAATATTTCAGTCTGAATGAACCATGATTTGCTTAAACCTGACCGGCTGTTGATAGGTGTCTGGGTGGATTCCAGTTTGGAGCTGTTAGGGATAGCGCTTCTCGACCCTTTTATGTCTTTTGGGGAACATCCGTGCACATTTCCATTGTGTCTATACCTGGGAGTGAATTCCTGGATCACAAGACAGCTTGAGTGGACACAGTACTGTCCTTACAGAGAGTGACCATGGAAACCAGACAGTCGGGGGAGGAGGGAGGAAGGATGTCAGGAACAGAGTCAGAGAGTTGGAGAATGTGTTGGGAAGATCATCAGCACAGGGCAGAGAAACCGAGTCACAGAAGCTGCATGAGCTGAGTGTCCTGTCTCTGGGGGGGGGGGGATCATGTAGGAACCTGGAGGATGAAGACGGCAGTGGGTTGACTTAGTGGGAAATTCAGTCACTGGTGCAGCCTCGTTTGGGCTTCTCAGGAGGTAGCCTTAACCCAGAAAATTCAGCCCCTCTGTGGACCCTCCACTGCCCCTGGCTACGTGGAGCCCCTGGCTGGCTGGAAGTGGTGATAGCTTATCAGTGGGCCATACAAGCTCCCGCTGGGTTCAGAGGCTGCAGGGAAAGCACCCTGAGACATGGGTCCCCTGTGCCTGGCCACAGCCTCCATGAAACCTTGTTGAAGTGAGGGTCTGTGCCTCCGCGGAGGCCTGCAGTCGCCAGCAGCGTTCTGGTTCTTAATGGTTCACCAGCTGGACACCCACTTAGGTGGCTCTCTCTAGCCTCCAGGCCACCTAGGGTGGCCAGCCATGGGGGACAGGGGACCTCTGCCACCCTCCCAGGCTCAGGCCTTGGGGAAGCCTTCTTGGTTTTTGTGTCCTGGCCAAACAAATAACGTCGGTCCCTTACTCCGTCTCTTCCAGAATGGCAGCAAGGACAGCACTCTGGACATGCTGGGCACAGACATCTGGGCTGCCAACACCTTTGATTCCTTCAGGTAACGTCCTCGTCCTCCTTTGTCTGCAGTGAGGGGCTCCGGCTGAGACCCCGGCTTACGTGCCCTCTGTCCTGCCCGGGCTCACAGGACGTCACTGCTGGTGGTCCCCTGATGGAGAAGTGGAGCCAGATGCTGCGACGGAGAGGACATGAGGCTGGGCAGGAAGGGGGGCGGAGCGGAGGGTCAAGGAGGGAGAGCGTCAAAGGGGAAGAGAGAAAGGGCATCAGAAGCAGAGAATCCAGGGCAGGAGGGAAGACAGAAACAGCCTGGGAGAGGGACAGAGGGGACGGAGCAGGCCAAGAGCCGGGGAGGGGCATATGTGGATGAGGGACAGTGAAGCTGCAGCCCCACCCCCACCCGAGGAGCCTGGGGAAGAGCGAGGAGTGAGTGGCTCCCACAGGAAGCTTCCCAAAGGGCCCGAGGAGTTGGCCAAGGGAAGGTGCCCCTGAAGGGCTTGCTGGGGACGTCCTGCCTGGGGTCCACCTCCCCTGTGAGGGGTAATGGCATTGGGCCACAGATGGGCACCCCCCAGGCCCACCCTGGCAGGGGTGCTGACTTACCCACCAGGGACGCTCCCCTGGGATGGGAGGAACCCACGGAGCTGACCCCTGCTGGCCTCATCACGTCAGAGAAGCTTTGACACCATTTTAAGCCACTTATCAGAGGCTCTGGTGACAGGATTTTGCACCCCCACTTCTCTCTAGCATTCCTCAAATGTAGACTTGAAACGAACCCCGAGGTTGCAGGGCACCCCGTGGGGTGGGTACCAGGCCCACACTCCTGTTAGGGAACATGCGTTTTCCTATGGCGGGGTTCAGCAGGCCAGGGCTGGGCACCTCAGGCTCTGTTCTGAGCGGGGGTCTGGCCCCTGCCCTCAGCGAATGGGTGTCTCCCTACTTGCACCCCTCTTATGGAGGACGCTGCCTCCTGGCTCAGCCTCCTGCCTGATCCTCAGTAACCGGGCTCCTTCCCCTGCCTCTCATTTCTCACCCTCCCTCGCCCTCTAGTGGTGCCACCTGGGACCTGCAGCCTGAAAAGCTGGACTTCACCCAGTTCCACCGGAAGGTCCGACACACGCCCAAGCAGCCACTGCCACACATCGACCGCGAAGGGTAAGGGTGGCCACGGGCTCCTCCAGTAGGGTTGGGTGGAGTGGGGGCAGGAGTGTCGATGCCTGAGTGGGGACTTTGTCCTGCCGCATGAGGACACACAGGTGGTTAATGTCCTCGGTGCTCTCCCTGTCTGGCCCCAGAATAGCAGACTCTCTCCAAAATGCCTCCAACCCTCCCAGTCCCTCCAGCCCACAATGCCTGTCCTGACCGTCCACAGAGGCCCTATTGTCCCTAACTCCGTCCAGTGGGTCTTGAACTTGAGCATGCGTCCGTATCACCTGGGGGCTTACTCAAACTGTGCTGGGTCCCGTAGGTCTGAAGGGCGGTTGCTGGGAATTTGAATCTCTGACAGGTTCCCAGGGGGTGCTGCTGCGGCTGACCCCACCTTGGGAGCCACTGGAGTAGAGGCAGACTTCACACTGGTGCGTCTCCGCCACCCCAGCCCCCGCCTTCCCGCCCCCCTCAGCTCCATGCATCAGTGTGGCCTTCCTTTTAAAAGGTGGGCGCAGGCCTGGGATGCCCTTGGGACACAAAGGTGTCTCCAGCCACCCAGTGGTGTGGGACAAATGTCTGTTCCTTCTAATTCTTACTTAAGTAAAATTGAGGTAATATAAAATCAACCGTTTGAAAGTGTGCAGTTCAGTGGCATTTAGCATATTTACAGTGTTCTGCAGCCACCGCTCTGTCTAGTTCCAAAAGTTTTTCTTCACCTCAATATAAAACCTCATACCCATTAAGCAATCCCTCCTCATCCCGTCCCCACCCTTGCCCAGCCCCTGGCAACCACCAATGGGCTGTTTCGAGGAAGTGGCCTTTTCTGAATCAGTGGAATCCTATGAGGCCTGTTGTGTCTGACTTTTTTCACTCAGTGTCATGTTTTTGAGAATCATCTGCCCTGGAGCATGTATCAGACTTCATTCCTTTTCATGGCTGAATACTATTCCACCACATGCTATTTGTTTACCCATTCCCCTGCTGGTGGATATTCGGGTTGTCTCCACTCTTTTGCGGATAACACTGCTAGGAACATTCATGTCCAAGTGTCCATTCAAGTCCCTGCTTTTTATTCTTCTGGCAGCTAACCTAGGAAGGGAATAGCTAGGTCATGTGGTAGTTCTACATTTAACTCTTTGAGGAGCTTCCAGAATTTTCCAAAGCAGTGGGATATTTTTCATTCTCACGAGCAATACACAAAGGCTCCAGCTGTTTCACATCCTTGTCCTCACTTATTTCTGCTTTGGGGGGACATCTGTTTTCGGGAGAGAGGTGGCATTTCCCTGGGCAGCTTCAGTGTCTCCCATGAAGCTGTGGCTGGTGAAGCCAGTCGGGAAACTGAGGCCCAGGGGGGGATCAGTAATGGCGTGACCTCGCAGAGTGCAGGCGCCATGGGCATGCTTTCTGGAGATTTTCAGAGTATCTGCATCCGCTCAGGCAGTAACCACTTCCATAACAGGCGACATTCGGCAGGAGTGATAAGTGACCACTCAGGCAGGAAGGTTCCCCTGTGCTGAGCGGACCCTCCTGAAGCCCGAGTAGCAGGCTGCACCTGCTCCCCCCGAGGCCTGAACTCCCCCTCCAGCTTCACCCACCCCCAGCAGCTGGCCAGGGCGGCTGACAGTGACCTGGACTCTCCCCAGGACACCTGGCTCTGGTGGAATTTGGTCACTCGCAGGCACGCAGGGAGTGTGGGGCGTCATCCTGTGGCCACCTTGTGGCCAGGCCAGGAATTTTGTCCCCCTCGGAGTCCTACCATGATGGGGATGGACTCCGCGAGTCCAGTCCCCGCAGCCTCCCTCAGCAGCAGGATCCGCTCGGTTGCCAAGGCTCCCACAGCCCGTGTTTCCATGGAGGGACAGGAATTGGAGCAGGCTGTTGCTGTGGAAACCCGTTGACAGTGGTGACTCAGCCGCTCTGCAGCCACCTCCTGCCCTGCACACCTGCAGCCCTGCCGAGGCCTGGGACCCCATCAGGAGGGCCAGCACCCTCCCTGCACCCCCACTGCCCAGCCCAGGGCCGCTGAGGTGACGCCGAAAGGCCCTGCCCCAGGTGCACGGGGCTGGAGGCTGGCGTGGGCCTGGAGCCCAGTGCTCGCTGGAGAGCCCCAGGTGAATTCTGCCTGGGGTGGCCCAGGGAGGGGTGTCAGCCATTCCTGCTGGGCCCAGTCCCCAGGGCCTTCTCCCCACAGCCATGGCGCCTGCAGAGCATAGGCGACTGCGCGCAGTTGGTGCTTTCCCGGGCCAGCCCGCTGCTGCCCTGCAGATTGATGAGCTCAAAGATGGTTGGGCGATCGGCCTTGCTCCGCCTCCTCATTGGTCCAGCACTGCACGGTGCAGGGCAGAGAGAACTGGCTGCGTCTTTTCCCTCCCGACGCCCCGGCCACCCAGCCCCACCTGTCCAGCCCAGACTGCCCCTCGGGGCCTCACCGCTCCAGCTCCCCGTGCCCTTGGCCTGCTGCTCTGGGGCTCCTGCAGGGCCCTCTCGGGTCCCCGGTGGAGCCCTGGCTGCTGTGCCACTGGGCTGATTCCCCCACTAGTTGAGGGCATGTTTATCCCAGGCCCCACCCCCAGTCCAGAGCCTGGCTCGGAAGCCCTTGATGGGTAGAGAGGGAAGGTTCCAGAGCCGGCCGAGGGCACACTCTGTTCTTCTCTTCCCCCCAGGCCTTGGCTGGCTTGGGCTGCCAGATTCTCTTCCTCTGGATTTCGGGGCTCGTCTGGCCACAGGCTTTAGTGACGCCTGTCTCCCACCGCCCCCTAGTGGTGCTCAGGCTCACAGCCCTAATAGGTGTGGTCCCGACCTGCTTTACCAGGCGCCCTGAGCTGTCAGAGGGAGGAATGCGTCTGGTTTATTTTTGTGGACAGTGCCCAAAACAGAAGAGATGCTTGGTGAACATGTAAACTGATGAACCAGTGCCTCAGGAATCTGAGAACTGCCTTAACTCTGCAGCTGGAGAGGCTGTCCCCAGCCACTGTGCAGCCTTGTGGTGAAACTCACCATGCACCAGCCCTGGGCCACGCTGTCCCAGGTGCTTATCACACAGTGGTTAAAACACCACAGCCCAGAAAGGCAGGAGCTGAGATCTTCACTGGGACAGGTGGGGAGGCTAGGGAATGTGGAGGAACTTGCCCAAGGCCGGGGAGGCCCCAGAGTCTGTGCTCTTAACTAGTCACCTTGCATCTGCTCCACCCCATAACAAGGACAGCAGCAGAAGCAGCCATAGCACCAGTGATACATTCGCCCTATTATTTACTTTTCTTACAATTTCATCTCATTTATTACCTATGTTTACTATTTATATATGAAATGTTATATATACATGTGTATGCACACATATACATATATATACATATAGATTCTTTTACAGTATTTCAGGCCAAGTTCTAAGCGCCTAAGCACTGATCTATTAACTTAGTCTTCCAAACTCTTTATGATTTTAGGCAGTACCATTATCCCCATTTTACAAATGAGGACACTGAGGTAAGGAGAGCTTAAGTCACTTGCACAAGGTCACCTGGTTAGTAAGGGATGCAGCTATGGGTCAAACCCTGCAGTCTAGTGCCAGGATCTGCAAACTTCAATATGCAAGAACTAGACCTTTGGCCAGTGACTTGGGCCCAGCTCCCTGGCCTGAGGGCACGCCCACCCACGGAGCCCAAAGCAACACCAGAGCAGGCTTTCTTGGCTGTCCTGAGGTCAAACCAAGGAGGAAGGACGTTCCATTGATCTCCTGCCAACCGCTGCCAGCCTGTATCACTTTGGGAAAGTTGCTTGGTCTCTCTGTTCCCTGATTTTTCCTTCAGGGCAGTGAAGCAAGATGGAAGCACTCTTGCGGGGCGTTATGACAGACTCCGGGGTGTTCATTAGCCAAGAGTTTGGCATCTTTGCCTGGAGGGTCAAGGGTGCCCTGATTCCTCTCACCTCCCTGCAAGAGGATGTGCTGGAGGGCAGAAGACCTTCATCCCAAGGCCACTTCCTAGGCTGGTTCTGCAGGTTCCTCCTGACTGTCCTGCTGTCCTGTGGCCGGGCTGGGACACGATGCCTGATGACCCCTGCTTGCAACGCCTTTCTGTCTTTTCTGGCCTAGGTGTGGAAAAGGGAAACTGGAAGATGGGGATGGCATCAACCTGAATGACATTGAGAAGGTCCTCCCGACCTGGCAGGTAGGTGCAGGGGCAGGGTCTCTAGCCCAGCCTCTCAGTCCTGCTCTCCGCCTGGGCGGGGGTCTTGCTTCAGCAAGGGGTGAGCTGCATGTACAGCAGGGGCCGGGGGGCAGGGGCAGGTGCTCGCCGTGGACCAGGGTGTCCAATGGGACAGCGTATGTGACAGCATGCTCTTGGTGATGCCGTGGGCAGCCTGCTGGGTGGCAGGCTTGATGTCCTCTAGTTGAAATGGGCCCTGTGCCGGCAACTCAGCCAACTTGGAAGTTTGGCCGCCTTGACCTGAGGCCTCCGAGGGCGGGCACCCTGCAGGGTGTTCAGGTGTGCTGCTGGGCCTCAGTGGGCCCCGGGCTATCTTTAGGCTTCTGAAGAGTGGAGCTGTCCACTGTGAAGAGTCCAGCTGTCTGCTGTGCTGGCTCATTTTGTCATCGGTTGGGCTCCTTTCCCAGAATGGGGCCAGGCTCTGGGACAAAGAGGATTGGCTCAGCAGTGGGGCGGTGAACCAGGTCTTCAGCTCCCGAGTGCTGGACTTTGAGCAGAAATAGCTGCTCCCAGGTATGGGGTGGGCCTGCTGCAGGGCAGTTAGAGTAGTAGACCCTCTGAAGGGACAGCCTGCCACTCCTGGTGACCTGCCACCAACCTCCAAGGTGTCGTCACCCTGCCCTGCTCGCTCCTGAACTTTGATGCTGTCCTACCCGTGCCCATTTGCTCTTCCTGTCCCTGTCCCCTTTCCTGTCTCTGCTCAAGCCTGGGCCCTGGCAGTGAGTCACCCCTGAGGCCGTGCTTCACTCCTGAGGGGCCTGGTGTGGGCTCTGCTCTTTTCATCCCCTCTTGGGGGTTTATTGATTTGTTTTTTTAAAGACCTGGAGGCTTGTAGTTCTGTTGAATTTGGAAGTTCTTCATCCATCACTGCTCCTCCGTCCCCAGCCTGGGGCTCCGACTGTGTGTCCGCCCTGCTTCTTCCTGTCTTCTTGGTGTCACCAAAGCTCGGGTTATTTCTGGTACTTTAATTGTGGATAGTTCCTCTGGCTGAGTCTTCAAGTTCACGCGTCTTTTCTTTCGGTGTCCAATCTACTGTTGACCCCATCCAACGTGCTGCTCACTTTAGATCCTTATTTTTCATCTCTGGACGGTCCCCACAGACCTTTTCTCATCCCTTCCGTTTCTCATGGCTTGTCCTGTCTTTGGCGAGCACCGGGGACCCGTGTCTCACAGCTGCTGTAATGTCCTTCTCTGCTCATTCTATCATCTGTGTCATTTCAGTCGGTTTCTATTAATTGATTTTTTTTCCCCTCCTGGTTGGGGAGCATAGTTTTCTTTGAAGGTCTGATAATTTTATATGAGATGCCAGATCTTAGGAGCTTAACCTTGTTGGGTATTAAGTTTGGTAGTTTGTGGGTTGGTTGGTAGTCCTTTAAATATTCGGGGCTTTATTCTGGAACAGTTAAGTTACTCCGATGCAGTCTGATCCTCTTAGGGCTTACTTTTAAGCTGGTCAGGGAAGAAAGACTAGTTTAGGGCCAACTTTGCACCACTGCAGAGTCAAAGGGCCCTTCTGAGATGGCTGCCTGATGCCCTGTGGCTTAGGGGGTGTTTTTTGCCCTGACTGGAGGAGCACAGACTGGTTCCATTTCTTTGGGCCTTGGAAGCAGACACACACACAAATTTATACTCAGCCGAAGTCTCGAGGGCCTGCATCTTCTGGATTTCTCCTTCTGTACGGCTCTCTCCTCTCTGGTACTCTGCCTGGGAAATTCTAGTTCCTTGGGCTCCCTGGAGTGCAGTGAGACCACCAGCTCTGCTTGGACCCCTCTCCCTGCATAGTGAATGCTAGACTCTCTTTGTACAGTGGACTGGGTCACACACAGTGGTCACCTCAATACAAAGGACATGTGGTGACTTTGTGGTGGAGAGACCTGGAGGCTCCCACTTGGCCAGGTGGTCAGGGTTAACACTTTCAGTGGTGGGATTGGTGGGTGCCTGTGCTCTGAGGCACTGCACTGAGAAAACACAACATCGTTTCTGAGACGTTTTCTTCCAAGAAAGCACAGCCTGGGTGTGCTCCTGAGGAAACAGGACTCTAAGGCTGCCTGGACGTGAAGGGCAGGACAAGGCTGAGGAAGTCTTCCCGGCCGTGGGAGCCTGGAGAGGTGGATGACTAAATGCATCGCGTGCCCCTTGCTGAAGTCCTGGACAGAGGGGGGAGTCGAGATTGTGCTGGGACAGAGGATGGGAATGGGGTCTGTGAGCCGGAGGGTGGTTTCACTTGCAGGACAGTCTCCTGACCTAGTGGCTGTGTGACGATCATGTAGGCAAGTGTCCTTGTTTTTGAGAAATACGTGCTAGAATCTTTGAAGGGTCGGGGCCTCATTTCTGCAGTTGGTTTAGAAAAAGGTCACAGGGTGGTGTGTAGATGCAGGGAGGCAGCGAGGAGCACACCTGGTGAGGCATTAATAGGGAACGCAGGGAGATTCCCGTACTTTCCTGTGCATTTGGGGAGGGGACAGCAACAGCATGGTGTGTGAGTGAGGGCGGTGTCAGCACAGGGTCTAGATTAATCGTCACTGCTAACGTAAAGCAGCCATGGCTCTAAGGGTGACAGGGCCAAATGCTCCAAGTGACTACTTTCTCACTCCTGCTCTAAATGCCTGCAGCACTTGTTACTGATAGGACACATAAATTTGGAAAAGCACGTCTAGGTGAAGAACCAGGTGCCTTCTGCCCCGGGGGCGGTGTGCAGGTGGCCTCTGAGCCAGAGGCCTGGGAGCATCAGGGCCAGAAGAGAAACAGGTCTGACTACCTGCTCCTGTTGGGTGACTGTGTCCTGCCCCTCCAGGAAGCAGACTAGAGGGCAGAAGGGAAAGGAGAGCTGGCCACTGGCCAGGCGAGAAGCAGCAAGGTGCAGGCCACACACTGAGTCCTTGACCCAGATGAAATATGGCCACCAACGACCAGTCAGGGAGTCTTGGGCTCATTCCTCATCTTTATTCTGCCTCCGCTTCCTCCTGTGTAAGACGAGATGATAACCTTGCTACTCCATCAGATGACTGGGAAGGCCAAGCTCGAGATTCACACGATGCCCCTCATCAATGCATGCATATAATAGGCACCTGCTGTTGTTATTCTCAGGACTCAGCACTGTGAAGCAAGCCCCCACCTCTATGGGGCCCTCTTTGTTAGGAGGTGGGAGGAGGGAGCAATTCTCACCCCCACCCCCCTCCCTGTGGATGTTTCTGGTGAAGAGGGGCATTTCTGCTAGGGGCAGGTTGGATAATGAACCACACAGTTGCCACACACAGCCACCAAGGCCACGTGTGACTCTCTTCCTGTGTGACATCCAAGGCAGCCCAGAGAAGTTGGACCAGGGTCCAGGGAATCAGACTCCCAGGTGGGCCTTGGTCTATTCCTCCAGAAGATGCAGTTGGGCCGGATGAGGGTCTGGAGGCCATGGTGGCTGTGATGGGGAGTGGGGGGGAGTCTGGAGGGCCCCCTTCCGGCTCACAAAAACCAGGAGTCCGCGAGCGCTTTCACTTGCAGAGATGGTTCTTCTGCTAAATCAATTTTGAAAATTATTAGCTGGAGGTCTCTCTGAGCCTCCATATTCTGGGGGTTTTTCTTCATTCAAGAGCAGTAAATCAGCAAGCACCCTTGGTGCTCCAGGGCCCATGCGTGATGCTCAGCTCTTGAGGCTGCTGGGAGAGGAGGTCATTGTCCTCGTCTCCGTCTTCAGTCTGTAGCACAGAGTGGAAGGGCTTTGACCTTCACACACGCACAACCCAACACGCACACACCATAGACACGCCACATACCACACGCAGGCACACATATGCACACACATACACAACCACACACGGACACGCATATTGGATGTATACCACATGCTATATGTACACATACATGTGTACCACACACACAACATCACACACACACACACACAGAGGCACACACACACCAAGGATTTTCATGAAACGTTCAGAAAAACATCAGCAGACAGGTCCCTACAGCTGTGGCACTGGGCTGAGGCCACCGGGATTTCCTGGGAAGCTTTGAGGCCCTCTGCTGCCTGGGATTCACCGGGGACCCACTGCACTCGTCGTCTCTTGCTGCATAACAAATTGCTCAAAACTTGGTTGCTTTATTATTTGGGGAGCAGCTCAGCTGGTGGTCCTGGGCCAGGGTCCCTCCCTTGCGAGGCTGATGGCCAAGGCTGTGGTCATCAGAAGGCTTGCCTGGGCTGGAGGTTCCCTCCCGTGGTGGCTGTGTCCCGTGCTGAGGCCTGGAGGCCTGTTTCTTGCCACAGGGGCCTTGTAGCAGAGCAGCTGCTTTCCCCAGAGCACAGGATGGGAGAGAAGGGGTGAGGGAGCGAGCGTCCGCCCAGAAGGGAAGGCCTCTTCCCAGAGGAGGTGTTTGCCAGGCACAGGCGTGGTGGCATGGGCAGGTCCACCCCGAGGCGTGCACACCTGGAAGCCAGGATCCCTGGGGCCAGCCTAGAGGCTGGTGGCCACGCCCACTGGATCATACCCAGAAATCTGTATCTTTAAAGCATTATGGGAAATTCCAACTAAGCAGGAGTTGCCAACTGATCCTGCTCATGGCTGGACCACCCCTTGGAGGCGTTGGCATTTCATGTGGGCCCCACTAGGATGAAGGTGACAGGTCTCTCCATCCCAAAACACAGCTCTCTGAGCAAAATTTCAGGTTCTAGAAAAGCACGTTGGGATGGCCTTTCTGAGTGTCCCCCAGCCCTTCTGTAGGAGTCCTGGGCCTGGGCAGGGATGAGCAAGCTCCTGAGTCTCTCCCAGGCAGAAGTCAGGGTTTGCTCCCCCACCTTCTACCTGGAGGCAAGAAGGAAAGAGGAGACGGAGTGGTGTGACCTGCGCTCACTGCCCACCCGCCCTCCACTTCCTCCCCTCAGAGGAAGAGAGCCACGAGAGTCTGTCCTTCAGCTCTGTCCATCCCTGTTCTGTCCCCCAAATCTCCTGACCCCATAGAGTCCCAGACCC